ATTGAAAGTAATGTTTGGAAACAGATGGAGACTTGTTTAATTAGGGCTATGTTTTACAATGACATTTCACTCAGGATTGTTTTGTCAAACTTTTTTAACAAAAGAAGATCTAAAAAGATATACACACACACACACGCACACACATATATATAAATGTGTACATGGTTTTATAGTTTGCCAAAGACCTTTGTTCACATTATCTAATTTTTATTTCTACTCTTATAACAATCCTAAGATATGGGTAAGGCAGTTAAAATACTGCCTTAGAATATACTACTGCCTATTCTATAGACTATATGGAAACATGAAACAGAGATATTGCTTAGATCAGTAACTAAATTATCTGACCTTTGTTAATATAGAATGACTACCCTAGGAAAAGGGATATCTACTTGGTAAGGTCTGAATCCTACTCAGTAATTAGCTGTGTGATAAAGGTAAAATGGCATTTGGCACCAGTGGGAACATCATAGCCGTTTTAACACCAATTGGCTTTCCATTTGGGAAAAAATAAAGTCAGATAACCTGTATTACAAAATACTTCAAAGTAAGTATCAGATGAAGTCAATATTTAAATACAAACAAACATATCAGTAAAAGATTTAGAAGAAAACAGAGAAGGATATTTGTATTATCTTGGGTTAAAGATGGTCTTCTTGCACACTTCAGGGAAAAGATTAGAAAGTTTCATTTAAAAATTGTAAGGTTTAATGTGACCAAAAAACATTTTAAAAGACCAGTTGCAGCCTCAGGAGACAGTATTTTTGTGATCACTCTTAACTTGGTGGTTGTTCCTTGAATCCAAGATACAATAGACATTCAAAAATGAAATATCAAGCCAAACTATGCATTTTTAAGGAAGTTGTATGAAAAAAAACAGTAATATAATTTTCAAGTTCTTAACAAATCATAAAAGGATCTGAGCAGTTAGTATGGGGAAGGGGAGGAATGGAGAAGTGAGGCATCTATAGAGGATATCTGAAGGTAGCTGTTGCTGTGATGAAAAATCCCACCGCATGCCCTTTGCTGAGAATATGCACAGTGGTCCCTTATCTTATGACTAGTGAGAAGGGCTTTCCCTAGATCAAGAGGAGAGCCTGCTAACTGTCCACTGCCTTTGGAGATGACAATTGTGCCTGACTTCCACCAGAGAAATGTCATGGTTGAGGGATGGGCTTGAGAGTTGCTGATCTGTAAGCCACAGAAGTTGCTGTTGAATTAGGATTTGTTTGCTCTCTTAGAATATTGTCAGGGCAATGTGTCAGGATTCATGAGTGATTAGAACCTGGGTCATATCCCGAACATATGCTGAATGATACTATTTCAAGACTTGTCCAGGAAGACTGAACAAACCACAGAGAGGTAAAGTGATAACCTGCAGGATTCCCAGATCCAAATAAGACATCCCAACAGAACTCATGCAAAGCCCCATGTGAGAGTTCATTTTAAATATCTGCTAAAAGAAAACATGATTTCATCTTATTGCAGTATCCATCTGAAACAGGAGAAGTTTCCTTATCCTCCTCACAGGGCATGTGACAGGGGTGTGACTCACTTCTTTGGTGCCCCACTACTCAAACCCCCAGCGGGAGCATGTAGATGGGCAAGTTGTGGGGAGAGTTTTTGGCCTCTGATCCCATGGCTGCCTCTAGGGTTGAGTGCTAACAGCTCCCGAAATTCCAGCGGGTGTGTGTTACAGTACGTTCTTTCAGCTTTGCCATCTGCAGGCAGCTTGTGTTAATCAGCTCAATTAGACCCTCCGTCTTAGCGGAAGGACAGAGGGCTTTCTGTATCTCGGATTCTTGACCCAGTGCACCAGTAATATTGGATCACAGGTGGGCTTGGAGAATGAGTGCAAGGTTTTATTGAGTGGTGAAAGTAGCTCTCAGTGAGATGGATGGGAGCCAGAAGGCGGATGGAGTGGGAAGGTGGTCTTTCCCTGAAGTCAGACTGCCCAGCGCCTGACTGGACTCTCTTCCTACAGTCCCTGTCTGAATTCCCCTCAACGACATCTCCTTTGTTCCTTGATCGATGGCCTGCCGGTGTCTGCTGCTGTCTGTCCCTGTGCTCTTTCTTGAGGTCTAGCTGTTTGTGTGTGTGCCCGCTACAGTCTCAGGTTTTTATGGGCACAGGATGGGGGGCCAAAAGGCAACTTTTGGGGGGCAAAACCAGAAATGCCTGTCCTCATTTAGGTCCATGGGCACAGGCCCGAGGGTGGAGTCCTTGCCAGGGATCCTGCCCTTCTCTACTCAGTACTTCCCTGCCCTTCTTCTGAATCACATCAATTAAGAACTCACTTCACTGCCCCTTAGCTCTCATCCTTCTCTCTCCACTATTCACCCAACATCATCAGGGACCAGAACTAATGTCAGCAAAGCAGGGAAAGTAACAAAACTGATAGGAGGAGAAGAAAGGCTGAAAAAGTCAACCACAACACCCTTTCTTCCTTAAAGGCTTCCCTCTACCATACTCGAAAACAACTTTGGCATTTTGATGATCAAATGAAAAAGTACACTTTCTAACTCTATACTATTCGTACACTATTTGTACTTTCTAAATCTATACTATTTATATTACTTAAAAGTGACCATAAATATTATAAACTAAGTTAACCAAGGTTTTGCCTGGAGGCAAGGGAAGAACGAATCCCATTGTACAACATAAAAAGTTGAATTCCACTTATGTGAAAACACATACATGTGTGTTTAAAGGGCATATAGGTATAAAAATGGATATCAAGTGGTATGAAATAATTTGCACTAAATTGATAATTGAGGAAAAAATGCAAAGAGAAATTTCCAGACGAAAAGCTTCACGGGCAAAGGGACCTATCTTCACGTCTTTACCAGGATAAGCATCATAGAGGCAGTACTTTGTAGGTATGTAGGAGCTCAGTAGTTATTGTTGAATGAATGAATGAATGATGAATGAATGACTTCTGCTTTACACTGTGTATTTCTCTTAAGTTAAAAATTAAAGACACTGACTGGGCATGGCAGCTCATGCTTGTAATCCCAGCACTTTGGGAGGCTGAGGCCAGCGGATCACTTAAGGTCAAGAGTTCAAGACCAGCCTGGCCAACATGGTGAAATCCTGTCTCTACTAAAAATACAAAAATTAGCTGGACGTGGTGGCGCCTGCCTGTAGTCCCAGCTACTCAGAAGGCTGAGGCACGAGAATCAATGGAACCCAGGAGGTGGAGGCTTCGGTGAGCTGAGATTGTACTACTGCACTCTAGCCTGGGCAACAGAGTGATACTCTGTCTCAAAAATCAATCAATCAATCAATAAAATAAAATAAAAATAGAAGACACTGGGCCAGGCTTGGTGGCTTAAGCCTGTAATCCCAGGACTTTGGGAGGCCAAGGAGGTTGGATCACTTTAGGTAGGGAGTTCAAGACCAACCTGACCAATGTGGAGAAATCCCATCTCTGCTAAAACTACAAAATTAGCTGGATGTGGTAGTGCATGCCTATAATCCCAGCTACTCGGGAGGCTGAGGCAGGAGAATCGCCTGAACTCGGGAGGCGGAGGTTGTGGTGAGCCGAGATTGTGCCATTGCACTCCAGCCTGAGCAACAAGAGCGAAACTCCGTCTCAAAATAAATAAATAAAAAAAATAAAACACACAAAAAATGAAGACACTGCATTTGTGTGCTATTCATAAAATTAAAGTCAACCAACGAATCCACCTACCTGACAAATAACTAAAAAATACTACCAAAGCTCTAGAAACCAGCACTTTGAATTGAAGGAAGGCCTCTAAGGTATCAATAGACTAAATATTGAATATTAGAAATGATTTTACTCCAAATAGGTTAAATTTTTTATTCTTTTTGTTAAAAAGGAGTAACACAAATGTATGCTACATTTTCTCTCATTTAAAGATCGAAGAGAAGTTTGTTAATCCGAAGCCAATAGGAAGCTCACAAGTAATTCCACAATGTATCATCCAGAAACATTTTCTGCATAGGGTAAAACTACTGCTCACAGACATAAATACAAAGCAACCACATTATACCGATTAAGATTGAGCCATAATTTCTATGAGCTTTAATACAACCGCTTTTTTAATGCTGCTTTTTGTCTCCTTGTTTACAAGACAAGGAGATTTCTAATTTTACTATTTGATGCTTACTTACACATTTAGGGAAAGGAGTTTTATAGAGACATGAAAGTAGACATGGAGATTACTTCATTTTTAACTGGTTTTGAAAATGTGTCTAACAGAGCACATTTTTATTTAGAAATAACAAACAGGTTAGTATAAAAAAGAGAGATCATTATCTCTCAGTGTGTTCACCATGGTCTTGTTAACTAGAAAGAACTGCAAGAGAAGAAAGAACATTTAGGGACCCAGGAAAGTGTGCATATCTAGTATTTGCCTCGTGTTGAAAGCGAAAGGCAGGTCTTCAGAATTCACTTTCATCCAGGTTTATAAAATTCAGGCAAAGAACATTTGACCCCTGCTGGATTATTTTGGGAAAAATATAGATTTTTTTTAAAACTATTAAAGGAGAATGGAAGAATAGAGTGGCAAAGAGACAGAAGGAATGTAAAAAGAAAAGAAAAGAGGAAAAAAGGAAAGAAGGAAGAAAAGAAGAGGGAGAAGAAAAAATAGAAAGGGAAGAAAATATAGACTGAATGAAATAGATTACATTTGCATTGTTGCTGGAAATATTTAATTTAGTCTGGTACACACAGACCTCAAATTTTTCTATTTTATATTATTTTCTCAACTCAAATCTGAAAATGGTCCCTGGAATAGAAACCATTTAACTTTAGGCCTTTCTCTGGCACTAAAGTGACACTAGACTAATAGACAATTACGACCACTTTAATGGATGACTGAGTTATCATCATCCTATGAAAGTTAATTTTGGTTTTGAAAATTTAACAAGATTTCTGCAACCTTAATTAGTTATTCATTAATACTGTTTAAGGTGATGAATGCCTTCCAACAAGTAAAATATGAGTTTAAATTTGCATTCACCCTCTGAAGGGTTACACATTTCCTGAGAGTGTCTACATATTCATAGGCAACATCGATGTGAATGTGACAGGCAAGTATTAGAAGGAATAGAAACTCACAGCGGCCGGGCCAATGACTGACAGTTTTCTTGGCGTTACAGTTAATAAGGAAACTTCTATCCTGTCTTTGGAGTTCTTCATCTCAACATGACTAATTGCTTCATCCTCAAAGTCTCCTTTTCCAATACCCTGCTTCTCATTCTGAGCCCTGAAGGAATCAAACATCCAAAGTGCTCCCTCTCTCATAAGTTCCCATGTGCTCTTAATATAGTGACCACTTGAGAATTTCAGGAAAGCGTCTGAGGTGGAAGAGGTGTAAATACTCTAAACAGCCTTATTGCGTCTTCCACTCTCCACCTCTCCTCCACAGCATGTTTCCTAACTACTTCCAAAAGGCTGAAACGTTGGTGGATGGAACAGAGTTTAACCTTCGCATCAAGATCTGTTGATGCCATCCTAAAATATCCTTAAATCCGTCTCATTTTCTCTGCCATCCTACAGTCTAAGCCACTGTCTTCTGTCACCTGAATCACAGCCATACACATCAAACTGGTCTCTCTCTAATCATGCCCCCTTCAGACTATTTCAGGAGCTTTGGAGCAACACTTATGGGGGTTCGGATCTTGGATATGCCTTTCATTAGCAGTTGATCATGGACAAGTTAGTCTACTTTTGTGATCCACAGCTTTGTCATCTTAAAATGGGGTGAGCCTATCTCATAGATGAATTTCAAGCAAGACACACTCACATAATTAGTATATAACTTGACCACAGAAGTTGCTCAAAATTAGTTATTTATGTATTGTCTTTTAGGTAGATGTTATTCAAAAAATGTACAAACTGGATATGTAAAAATGTTGTAATTAACTCAAATTCAAAATAGAACCATTTTAGTCTCTTATGAATGGTACAAACTAATAATTATGGAGATTGGGAGGATAGATAGAGATATCTTTTTCTGGAAGTGAGAAGATCTCCCAAAGAAAGCAAACACTGGTGCATTTGCGCTTTTTTTAATTTATATTTTTGCTAAGTTTAGAAAAGAGTTAAAGAGTAACAGTGCTCCCTAATGGATAAAACAAAATTATTTATCTATTAGGATAAATAATTCTTTACCCACAAAACTGGAGAACCATTTATCCCTTGAGACTTTATTCTATACATTAAAAATGATTTGTGTTGGGGGAGTGTCTCTACACACACATTTTAGTTTGGATGAAAAGCAGCAAGGTTAATTTCTTCATTAAAAACTTCTGTTTGGAGGTAGGAATTCTACACAGTCTCTGTTATTGTAGAATGCTCCATGGTTTGTTTGCTTATATTCCCGTGAGTTTACGGTGCTAGGAGAAATTTCCACCTGCTCTCAGATCTGCCTTTCTTTAGTTGGAATTCAAAGCACTAATAAACCCTTTCTTTGCCTTTATTTTTCTCAGTTCAGCACTTGATATCTTCCTTGGTAACATTATTCCCTTTCTTTTAGGATGCCTCTAATTTCAGTCCAAGTACTTTGATAGGATAGTTCATTACTCTCTCTTCCTTATATAGCCATAGTGATTGGCTCCGAAATGGATGCAGAACCAAATAGACAATCACAATACTTTTCAGAGACTTCAGAGATGGCTACATGGGCAAAGATGCTTTCTTTCTAGTGTTTAAACTGGGATAATTTCAACTGGGGAAAAATAGTTTCTATGACTGCACCTATATGGCTTGACAGTTTCACAATGCAAAAGAATAACATAGAAAGAAGGTGAAGCCAGGCGTGATGACTCATACCAGTAATTTCAGAAATTTGGAAGGCCAAGAGAGGAGGATCACTGGAGTCTAGGAGTTTGAGACCAGCCTGGCAAACATAGCAAAACCTTGTGTCTAAAAAAAAAAAAAAAAAAAGTGACTTGGGTTTGGTGGCTCACATCTGTAGTACCATAGTCCCAGTTATTTGGGAGGCTCACACAAGAGGAATGCTTAAGCCCAAGAGTTTGAAGCTGCAGTGAGCTGTGATCTTGCCACTGCCCTCCAGTTTGGGCAATGGCGTGAGGCCTTGTCTCTAAAAACAAATAAACAAACAAACGAAGAAGGTGCATGCAATGATGAAGAAATAAAAAGAAAAGAGAGACATAATTACAACTTTAAAAATTCTTTTTTTTTTTTTTAATTTCTAACCCCTGAATTTTTAGTTACAAGTAAGGTAAGGTATTCCTTTCATTTAAGCTAGTCTGACTTGAGTTTTTAACACTGACATACCTGAGTTCTCACTAATGAACATTTCTTTTTATCAATATTATTTAAAAAAATTTTTTTTACAGGCTGGGCACGGTGGGCTCATGCTTGTAATCCCAGCATTTTTTGGAGGCCTAAGTGGGAGGATCACTTGAGCCCAGGAATTCAAGACCAGCCTAGGCAACAGAGTGAAACTCTGTCTCCACAAAAAATAAAATTAAAAAAAAATTAGCCGGGTATGGTGGTGCCCACCTGTAGTGCCAGCTACGTGGGAGGTTGAAGTGGGAGGATCACTTGAGACCGGCAGGTAGAGGTTGCCGTGAGCTGAGATCACACCACTGCATTCCAGGCATTGTATTAACAAAAGGCAAAATATTCTTCTTAAATTTGAGTTTGTGTGTAGGTTATTGTAGCTTAAATCATATAGATGAAGACTGATTTACCCTTTTACTCTGCATGCAGCTTCTCCTGCTGGAGTATCCTTCTTGTTAGAAGAGAGCAGATTGGGACTTAATGAGAATATTGCCTCAGAAAAATTGTATTTAGTGAAAGTAACATCACTCTGTATCTAATGAACAAAGCAGGGAGAACCATTTACCTGGCTTTTCAAGACATTGTAAGTGAAGAAAAATTAGGAGTAGGCAAAGAAATCATGACTCCATGTGAATGTTAGCTAGGAGGCAAAGGAAAATGAATGTCATAGATGACATTCCTCTGAAGGTACAGGGATAGATGAACATGCTGAGAGTACTGGACAAGCCTTTGTGATTGATGTGGAGCAGAGACACCATCAAATCTCAAATCACAAAAACCTGATGTACAAAGACACCTGGGCATTCTAGTGACCCAGGGCTCCCTGCTACAAGAAGTGCTGTTGGATCTCTTAGAATCAATAATTGGCATGGAGAACACTAGCATCCTATCTCCTGCAGTTTCAGTCTGTTCTTTGAGCATGTTATGATGGATAGAGCTCGTCTGGATGAATCCATTAGACGAAAATGAAGTGCTTAACCATCTTTTTTTTTTTTTTTTTGAGCAGAGTCTCGCTCTGTCGCCCAGGCTGGAGTGCAATGGTGAGATATAGGCTTACGGCAGCCTCTGCCTCCTGGGTTCAAGCGACTCTCCTGTCTCAACCTCTCGAGTAGCTGGGAATACAGGTGTCCACCACCACACTTGGCTAATTTTTATATTTTTAGTAGAAACGGGGTTTTTCCATGTTGGCCATGCTGGTCTCAAACTCCTGATCTCAGGTGATCTGCTTGCTTCGGCCTTCCAAAGTGCTGGGATTACAGGCATGAGACATCACACCCAGCCTCCAAGAGAAATTCTTATGCATGAGGCCTTGATTTCATCTACTTCATCTTCTACGCCAAAGTGACATATGCAAAATAAAAATGTCACCATAATACCTCTTAGCTTAAAGTCATCATTAGCTCCCATCTTTTATAGGGTCAGCTCTGGGTGCTTAGCATGACACAAGATGCATTTCTTCTCCTAGTCCTTAAATTCCTCTAGTGGCCTTCTTTTTACGTTAGTCCCCCTTGACCAAGAATACACAATGACTCATAATGCGCTGTATTACACCTTTGACATCGGTTATCCTGTGCCCTGCCTCAGATGTCCTATACACCATTATTCCCCGGCCAACACCTGCTCATCCTGCAGAATTCCATCTGACATCTTATTTTCTTGAAAAAAAGTAAAAAATAATAAAAAGTCTACTCCAGACCTTCACGTTCTCATCAAGTTCTCTTTCTCCCTATCTCTATAGCACCCCTGTGCACTTATGGAAATCATGTGGCCCTGTGTTTGTTGCATATTCATTATACTTGACCCATTTCAGGGTAAAGACTTTGTCCTATTTACCTTCCAGGCCCAGAGAAGCATGCAATATGTATTTGTACAATGAATGAAAAACAGTTACTCATAGCCTGCTCGATGCTATTCTCCTCCTGCTTGGACTTCCTCATGTGCCAGGTAAGTTATTAGGATGTTAATCAAAATTTTATTTTTCCCATATTATGTCTTCCTTTTTCCACGCAAACAGCTAGACCTTTGTACTCACTTGTCGTTTCCTAGGACTACTGTAACAAATTACCACAAAGTACATGGCTTAAAACCTAAAACAACACAACTTGATTTTCTCACAGTTCCAGAGGCTAGAACTCTGGAATTAAGGTGTTGGCAGAGCCATGATTCTGCTGAAGGCTCTAGGGAAGAATCTGCCCTGACTCTCCATGGCTTCCAGAGATTGCCAACAATCTCTGACGTTCCTTGGCTTATAGTTTCATCATTCTGATTTCTTTCTCTTGAAATGTTCCTTTCACATGAACATTTCCCCTTTGTGTCTAGGCTGTGCCTCGAAATCTCACCCTCTCCTTATAAGGACACCAGTTATTGGATTTAGGGCTCACCCTAATCCAGTATGACCTCATTGCAGCTGGATTACTTCTGCAAATAGCTTATTTCCAAATAAAGTCCTCTTTACAGGCACCAAAGGTTAGGACTTCAACATACCTTTTTGAGGGACACAATTCAACCCATAACATGTATCTTTGGTGAGGACTGTATTATAGGGTCAGAGGCAGGTGTTGCCTTTAGACAGCTTATCTTCCTGGATTCCTGCAGAAGTTAGTGTGGTGACTGTGCTTCTTGTTGAAACTATGAGGGGGGATTAGTAAACAGAAAAGAGGGACTAAGGCAGGGAAGGAGCCAGGGCAGGGAGAGACAGAGAGAGAGAGAGAGAGAGAGAGAGAGAGCCCTGCAGGAGCGAAAAACCATACTTTAGCAATTTTCAGGGAAATGCGGGAAA